TCCAAAATAATCCTATTATCATCGATTAATGGAAAGATATTGTTATCTTTATAGGATTTTTATGTCTCAATATAGGAGACACGATCTTGCAGCTTCTAAATGCTTGTATCATTCCACTGATCATCATCTGTATTTTATATGCTGTGGTTTAGCTGGACACCAGAACTGCAGAAAATGTTGTTCGATACTCGGCTATTTATTATTTAGGCATGATACTTATTACTGTTGGCATTATAGTGGCGTAGAGAATTGTATAGGGCTTGGACGCTTAATTATTTTAACAATAATTAACTAAGCGCCTTGCAAGCTTTTATGTTTTGCATGAAGCTCAAAACTACTGCAATAATTATCAAACAAAATATGAAATTGAATGAGGACAGAATTTGCTTTTAGTTCTTCTTTTAAGTGAGTTTTGCGATGTTTGCACAATAAATTAATGATCTCATATAATGAAAAGAATTTTAGTTAATTTCTATCTCTATTGAGAATCAGCAGTATGATGTACTCTCCAACATGGCCGCTTTGACGTCGCATGCAAACACTGTATAGTCTGTCCTCAAAAAATGGGAACCACATTTTTCACTCAGAAAATTCAACATGTCTTCTTAAAAAACGATTGACGTTTATATTTATGATATATTTTTCAGAGAGAAACTAGGTTGGAATGGAATTGCTGAGGAAGAGCAGGTACACCTAAAACATGAAAGAATTTGTTGATAAAGCAATTTTTATCTTTATTTCCATAAATAACACCGTTCAGGGTGCCTTCTGGCAAGCTGATTTCTTGGGTGCACTTTGCTCTGTCCACACAGAGCTCATGGCAGTTACGCCACTGACATCATTGTATCCATAAGATAGCAACATAGCTACATGGTGACGGTAAATTATAGAGAAGATAGTTTCGCCGATGGTTTCGCCGATGGTTTCGCTCGCGTGATCCTGTGATTTCGGCAAAGTTTCATAGACATGCATCAGCACAATCATAACATTTGAATTCATTCAATATTAATTTAAACAAACATCGTACAATTTGACGATACAGTTTGAGACAATTTAATTTTTACTGCCGAAAACTATAAAAAGTGAAAGCCAACCCGTACAAAACAGCCAAGACGAGAAACAAAGCAAGCTTCGTTTCATGTCCAATAATACCATATAATAAAACTTTTAATAACTTCGCTTTTTCCGTCTTTACTGAGAAATATCGGCCTTTTGTCTTTTTGTACAAACCTCGTCCTACGGGCTTGGTCTGTACAAAAACACCTCGGTCCGATATGTCCCCGTAAAGACCTCGAATTCGGTTATTAAGGGCTTATTATCATGTTTAATAATGACCATTTTTATTTCTCATTCTATTAGTAGTATTCTTTTTTTTATTTGACTTTCTTTTGAGAGTTGATAAATTAGTAGAGTTAATAATCAATTCCGAAATTCTGAAATTCGTTTGTCAGCAAATATCTTTGAAACTATTCAAAAATTATATATTCAACGAGACGTGATATTAACACTAATATATACAAACATACTAATTTCAGTATGGTACCATTAAGTCACCAGGCAAATCCTGCAACGATATTCTTCAGAAAATATCAGAAGACTGTTGTCCACCATTTTTTATGCGTTCAGAACGTAAAACTGGGCTGTCATATTTCTTTTTAAGTGTAAATGTTCCACGCAATATCCGCGAATGGACATTTGTATCATAACCTATATTCTTGTAAAAACCAAGTAGTCGTATTCATTAGTTGCAGTTCTAAAGCATATTTTTATGAAAAACAGGAGCAATCGGGGGAGCGCATTATTCACACAGTGGAAGTGGATCAAATTATCTCTGTTTACCGTTGAATCCAACATACGAGAAATACGCTGCTGGTTTTCAAAATAAAGCAATCCTTTATGGTACTGAATACGAGATTAATTCTGCTGAGAAACATATATTTCCAAATCTAAGCTCGGTCTTACCGAGATGCTCCGTGTGCTGTATGTCATGCTAAGTCACGTGTTAGTCACATGATGATTCCAGCGCTCAATATCTGCGATCAGGATGTACTATGGAATACAAAGGTTATTTAATGGTTGCACATCATAATCACAAGCGATCTGAATACATTTGTGTTGATGGTAAACCAGAAGCAATGTATGGATCTTATGCAAATACAAACGGAGCATTGCTATATTTTGTTGAAGGCCATTGTGGTTCTTTACCATGTCCACCATATGTCGGTGGAAAGGAGCTGACCTGTGTAGTATGTACTCAGTGACCAAAAATTGTTTTGGAAACATGCAAACTTTGCAAGGCTTAAGACGCTTTTCAGTATTTCTTCCGGAAAGGATATGTTTTATTTTTTTATAAGCATTAGTTACAACCACACCTTTTCATTAGTTTATATTAGATACGAAGAACTACATTGGTTTGATATTAATTTCTTTTCTGGATAAAATAAACATGGAACAACTTAGCAATGGCTCCCCTTGAGTATGTTGCTCAATAATAATTGAAAATGTATATTTACCAAGGGCGGATTATCCAGTAGGCTGAGTAGGCTAAATATAGGCTGAGTAGGCTTAGTAAAGTCTGAGCAGGCGTAGTATAAGCTAAGTAGGCTTATTATAAGCTGAGTAGGCTTAGTATAGTACGAGTAGGATTATACACTGGTCAACAAAAAGAAACTTTTTAAAAGGTGTCTGATATTTTTTGACTGATTTACTATATTTTTGCTATGCTAAATCTAGAAATAACATTCATTTTGCTCTCGGAGGTCAAATTTTTTTGCAAATTTGAATTTAAAATTATGCGACTTTAGTTATATTTTTTTAAAACAATGTTTTCAAGATTTACATGTTTTCAAGATGTTTCAAAACAAAATGTCAGTTTTTATGATAAAATTGCAGTATTCCAAGAAAGAATCATGTACACTTCATGTACAGTACATGTAACTAAAATGAAAACTTAATGTTTGCATTATTACGGTCTAAATTTTCGTTTTTGATTGTCGCGAATGTTTTGTTGCTGGCACATCTCTTTAAATTCAACAGTAGTCCGCCATCATCACCATGTCCCACCTTTCTCTTAAGTCATGGTGAAGCGCTCTCCTTGCTCATCGCTTAAAGAGCCAAGATTTTCGGGATCAATACCAGCTTTTAATTTTCAGTTGACAAATTGGGAAGGTTTTACAACGAAACTGAAAACATAGTTTAGAAAACTTTATGTGCAGTGGAGGAAATAAAATACGTCCCCTGTCAACTAGAGGCTTGTTTATCACATTTTTGCTCTACAACTTAGCAAGCTCTTCACGTACTGGCCATTCTTTTTCACGTAATGATGAGTACGATCCCTACTATCCCAGAGGCATAAAAGTATGGGTATTTGGTAAATCCAGACTGTTGACCACGCAAGAAGTTGACCATTTTAAGTCAACGCAAATCAGCCATTTATGTTGGTCATGAAATTTTCTAGGACGTACTTAATTGCTTCATGCTGTTCTTTTAATGTTGTCGAATGTGCCAATGGCACAGATGCAAATTGATTTCCATAGTGTAACAACACACATTTCAAGGACCTTTTGCTGCTGTCAATAAAAAGTCGCCAGTCCTCTGATTTGTATTCAGGTACTCCGAGATGTTTCAGTAGCTCTACATGTCATTGCGATAGACTAGTTCTTTTCTTGAGCAAAATATCTTAAAAATCCCTGGTGCCTGGTACGGAAGAAACTTACCTTAACTTTACCATTTAGCATGTTCTTGTCCTTTAAACGAGATGCAAGAAGTTCGGCAGAGTCTTTTGGCAAATTTAAATCGCGAACAAGATCGTTTAGTTCGTTTTTGGAAAACAATTTTGGCTGCTCATCATTGTCATCGGGAAAGGATGCATCATCGGTAGTGGCAATGCTTTGAGTTTCATCCTGGCTACTACTGCTTTCTTCAATACTTGTATCTTCAAATACAAGTACGGGAATTTCTTCACTATAAGGAGTAGGGCGCATAGCTGACGGTAGATTGGGATACTCCAGTGTTGTGCGATTTTTTCTGTTAATTCACATGACATTGATAGCACAAAAGTAGCAATCGGTTGCATGATTTAAGGCTCTCGCCAAATCATGGGGATGCCAAAGTTCATGGACTTTTGCGTGCCTTTGCTCCATTGACGGAGATGCTCTGTGCATCTTTTGCAAGCCATGTGAGGTGCCCAACGTTTGTCTTGATCGCCGAGCTTCATGCCAAAATATGCATAGTAAACGCGCTTGATAAAGGTGGTGACAGTATTGCGATTTGGTGCAAGGGTGTATTCACCACAAACATAGCAAAAAACATCTGGCTTATTTTTATTATTTCTACTTTTTATTAGTTTTTACTTACATTAATATGTTGGTGTGTTTTAACAAGTTTTACCATTGAATTCAGTATGGGCTAAATAAAGCCTTATTTTATCTTTAAATATCCCATAATAATCATAAAACCTTAACTCCCTAATTGAAATTCAATCAATAATTGCTTATTCAAATGCTTTCTTCTTTGTATTGCTAGTGCTAAAAAATTTAAATTTGTTCAGATAATAGAACATTAAAAGGTAAATGGTTAATACTTCTGTTGTACCTTTCTCGGGTATTTAAAAGTTAAAAAATACAAAATTAACAATAGCTTAAAATCTCGACCTGACCCAGCAAAAATAGTGTTATTTTTGGACTCAGCACATCAAAATTGTCCAAAATCAGTTTACAAAACTGAGACACCAAATTTGCTGTTGACCAGTGTTATTATAGGCTAAGTAGGCTTAGTATAAGCTGAGTTGGCTTAGTATAAGCTGAGTAGGCTCAGTATAGTATGAGTAGGATTATTATAGGCTAAGTAGGCTTAGTAGGCTTATAATGTGTGTGAATAAATTTGTTTGTAGCTGATGATTGGTTGAGTCATAGAAATGAATCATATGATGGTGCAAACTGACAACAAAAAGAAAAAAAATCAATCACGAAGCATTACTTGCAACTGTATGCCTAAGCAGAGTTAGTGAATTTTCATTGTTTAAGAATACCCAAAAAGATGAAAAATAAACTTGTTGTTCTAGTAACTTTATTCTGATTTCAATTAATGTGCAATTTGTCAACTGCACATTAAAAGATGACAAAAAATTGATATGCCAAACTTTCAAAACCAAATTGAAGAAAGGTTAGTGAAACTTTGAATCTTGTTAATGTTGACTTACGTTTTGATAACCTTAGTGGTAGTCGTTCGTTTGTTTGAGTTTAGGAATTAAAGCACAATACAAATACGTATGAACAAAGGTGGCAGGAATTCCCCGACGGAGGTGCTAAGGTCCCCGACGGATGGGTTAAAGGTCTCCGACGGGTGGGGCTGACTTACTAGGCCGATGTGACTATGCGCTTTCCATGCAAATGTATTTTCCGGACAAAATTTTAAAAATAATTATGAATCCTCGCTTTGACCATATCGTTGAAACATATAGTTTGTTTTGGAAATAATAATTTACATCTACATGAAAAATTAACACAACATATTCGAGTTGTGAGAGCCGCAACGAGAACGCTAATTTGGGGAATGGGTTGTTTTTGGGTGGTTTTTTGATATATTTGGTTGTGCCTAATTGATTTTTTTGGAAAGAAATTTAATTTTTAAAGAAGTCAGTCTGACAAAACTGAATATATGAATACCTCCACCTATCATCGCTGTACTAACAGACCTGCTAGTCGTGCATGCAATCCAGGGATATACATATGATTGGTTATAACAAAGCTATACAATAAGTAAAATGAAGGCCCTGGGTTTTCTTGTAATGTTAAATAGTAATAATCAAATAATAATTATCTTCGTCAAAGCTTTATAAATATATACTAAGCATTAATCAAAGTAAGACGAGGATACATTAGTTATTAGATAAACTATTATTTTTTTCTTGTTTAACTTAAATCTTAAGTTTTGGCAATTTATCTCAATGTTAAACTATTTTGCTGGTGAGCAGTTTTTTTGACTGCATGTTTATAATTAATCAGTAGTGTACTAGGAAGTAATTTATAAACATAAGAGGCAATATTAATAATGTATGAGTAAGATATAACTTCGGTGAATCATTCGATTTGATTGTTTGATGTTCAGAGAACAATTCTACTCTTAGGAAAGCTAGCATTCAACTTGTTCATTACGGTAGCAAAATCAGTTTGCTCCCTCACCACAATGAATTCCCTTACATCATAAGCTGTCCAGACGCTTGATTGTGATTTATCAATGGCACTATCTGCAATACATGCAAAACTGTCAGAATCTGATGCTCATTGCTCGTTTGAAACTCAAACAGCAAAGTTTTTCACAAAAATTTCCTTTCAAAATTCAGAAAGTCGAGTTGCAAAAGCAACAGACAGACAACTAATAGCGGAGTAAGCGTCATTGGCGATTGCATATGCAAATATTTCTCATGTCACATTTTCATTTCTGTTTTCTAATGAACATTCAAAACTAAGTATTTCAGAGTAACTTTATTATTTTTTAAATTTGATGTCGGATAGCTGACATGTATGAAGATTATTGCCGATACCGAGTGCTCACATTACTTTAAACGAACGGAAATAATCGACATTGGAAATTACATTTTTTCGTTATTCATTCCTCGACAAATCGTCAAACAGCTGTAGTCGTCCCTCTGGTGCCACCCCTGCGTATGAACAAGACAACTACAAACATGGCTAGCCTGACGTTTACTCCTTACTTTTCTCTAAAGATGACTACTATGTAAATTGTCATGTCAAGTTATGTAGCGTGTGATTGTGTCATATTATGCATTATAAGATTATAACTGATATTATTAAATTGATGGAAAATACATACATAGTTAAAAATTGTGGTTACAGTGGAAATCCTACACGTAAAACAAAAATACTATAGTTATGTCAAGGGAGTACTTTCTCTCCGCAATGCGTCATTGCGGTAGGATGTGGGTAAAAACGAAACTCTACAAACGGAATGGCGAAGTTGCAAGTCGTGTAAACGCTTAAAACCACTTCCTAATAATTATATATAAATATAGCTTGCAAGCGTTGGTTCGGGGTTTCAGAAAAGTTGACGTTATTGGTGTATGAATTGGTCGTATAAAATTGATAAATTAGCAGTCGTATTGCAGAAGGCAAGCTCAGGTTTAGGATTGAAAGTTGTCCGTAATCTTAACGATATCATTTTTAAATATTCCGTATCGCGAAGAACCAAAACACTGTAAATATCCCATCAAAGTGTTAAATAGAATTGTAAAATACAGTCCTGTCGTTCGAATAAATTTGAAACAGTGAACCAGCACTTCGTAAAGATTGTGCGAAACTACCGCTAAGGTTATCGAAACTTTAGTAAACATCAACACCAACAGTCCTACTCAGGACTTTATTATTATAGATGACCTTCATTTACAAACATTTAGCGATACTCTGTGGTTCAAACTATTCATTATAATAAAAATACGCAAAGTCTTAATAAAGACAATAATAACATGTTAGGTTTTAAGAAAGACCATTGGAGACATAATTTTTCTTACTGAAGATAGATCTTTTCATCTTGTGATGGAGATAAGCTTTATTTTCTTTTCTTGGCCTTGTTCTTAGGAGAAGAATAATCAGTTATAAGTATGCACATTAAAATGAAGTCCTCAACAGGCTTGCAGTCTGTTTCAGAGCCTTATTGCATCCATTTAAAAAATTTAGTTCTTAATTTTAGCACAAGTATTTCTAAGAGACAGAGTCGCAAAGCAACAGCTTGTCTAGGACCTCCTGGACTTCCGGGCAGGGATGGTGAGTTATAATTTACTTAACTTTAACAAGTCGTGATCAAGAGAGTTATACAAAATTCTTTACTTTTATGTTCTTGACAAATTTTGGAAAACTTTTTTGGCTTAAACAATATGTGCCATATTTTAACCCTATGAGTTTAAATTGCTTTTTAACTAAGTCATTTTTGTGCGCAATCTATTTCAAAAATGCTTCCTGGTAACACAATTCTCAGTCTTACAATTGTTACTATTTAAAAAATTTTACTGTCAGATGATTCATTGGAAGTCTAACAATCTATCCCATCAATGGATTTTGCAAAGCCTACAAGCTGATAGCATAAGCAACGTTTTTCTATCCGTTAAATTTTTTCGACTGCTATAGTCGTAATACGTATGATACTATGTTAATTTTTCTTTGTTCACGTACTATAATAAGAATAAATTTCTAACAAAATGAATAATAATAATGTCCTCAAATTCACATTTCGAGACGAAAATTTGCTGGCAGGCTACGCTACTGACTGAGTATTTATCGCCAACTATATAATCACCGTAAAGCAAATAAACAATTGCTTCTTGCAAATGATTATCAGTAAACGTAAATTCCTCACATGCAGAGATGCTACATGAATTGGGAGTGTATATTCATATATTACGTTGTGCCATACTTATTTCTTTTGAAAGTATTTTGAATTCAAAGAAATCAGTAGGGCACAGCTGAATATATCAATATACACCCCAATTAACGTTCTCTACATCTCTGCTCACATGAGCTTTGTACTCCTTATTAAATGAATAGACAACCATCGACATTCAACGATCTTTAATATACAGCATAAACAAAATATAGCATACACATTAAAAGAAACAAAGTGACCATAACCTTCGTCCAAAGTTAATAAAATAGCGATGTTGCATGATTAATATGTTGATGCACATTGTAACATCACAGTTCTCCAGCTGTTTGTGTGAGTGCAATCTATTAAAAGAATAGAAAAGAAGAACTGAAGGAAGTTTCAATCAAACAAAAGACCGAGCCAATCAAAGACAAAGGAGACGCTTGACAAATCAAACTTAATGCATTAATATGGCCACACAATGCCCAACGCAGAATTATAAATAAAGGGTGTTTCAATGGATAGTTCTTGTTTTAACTAGAAAAATCATTGTGGAGCTGAAGGAAAGCAATTTCACTCATTTGTCTCTGAATAAATTTGATGGAAGCCATCGATTGGATGAAATATGAAAACAAAGCATATGATTGGATGAAACTGACTAAAAATATCACAGACTACACTGCAAGAGTTTACTTGTAACTGCAATAGCTGACAGAGGATAGGTTTTCGTCCTATAAAAAAACGTAAAATAATGTACATCGCTACTCTCCAGATTATTTTACTTTTTCTAATAAAAGTCATCTACTGCAATTATAATGATGACAAAAATGCCATGTTGAAGTTAAAAGACAAAGCAAAAGAAAGGTTTGTGGTGATCACTTGTATTATCATTTGATATTTTAGATACTATATGCTGTGTTGAAATGTGGCATATTTTATGATTACTTATCATATTTAGGTTGCATTGAAGTAACCTATAAAAGAAGTAATAAAAATCTTAACCAGTTGAAAACAATTTTCCGTACTCATACTAGTTCACACATACACGTACACTACTACGCACTCATTAAATAATGATTTGTATGATTTTTTTGTTTTGAACTCTTTTTGTACCCCCAATTTTTGAGTTTGTTTTGTCATTGCTCAACTGTTCGAAGGAGTTTGATTTCCCAAACCTTGGTAGCTGAAGATTTGAGAAACTTGAAATGATTCAGACAGATTTAACTAAGAGAGTATTTATCATCTAGCAAATTTACTTTGGCATTTTCTCAACATTCGGACTTTGCATGGATAGGAAATACACAAAGTTACTTCGTATGGCACTTAATTAAAGATTTATGAGTTTTTTTTTTATTTCAAATTTGTACTCCTTTCCATATTTTAAATCGTTTCACGCTTCACTGAATTTAAGCTAGCCGCGATTTATTTCTTTTTAGTTACGACTTTAACTGTTTGTTAAGTATTTTTAAGAGACAGAATAGCAAAGTAACAAGTTGTCGAGGACTTCCAGGACTTCCAGGCAGAGATGGTGAGTTATATAAAATAATTTACTTTTGAAGTTGTGAAATATTTTAAAAGAATGTTTACTACCACAACGTAGCTCTATTACTACTGAATCTAATTTTTCTAAAATAATCTTACAATTTAGGACGTGATGGCAGAGATGCTTTATTGCGTGGTGAGTTTTTTTTAACAAAAGTCATTTTCTTTTTATCTGTAGTTCATGTGTGGTTAAATGTATTTCCTGGAAACTACGTTAAATGTTTTATTAACTCTTAAACCCTTCTTAGTTGAATTAACTATTTGATCAATTTTGACAAAATAGCTTATAAACTCATATAAAGTAAATTACTTCTAATTACTTAGATGTTTCATTCAAACGAAACGTAAAAAATCTATTAAAGATTTTTGTGGCAGGCTCTTTTCCGAAATGGTCAGAACTTTGTACATGCATTTTCCTTTTATCGTGTTTTGTGTGATAGCAGATTTTGTTGAAGAAATGGATGAGTTATTCAAGCCTTTGTGCTTTTTTATTCGCGGAATATTTTTAATGAGCTATTAGTTTTATTATTCACGCTTTAGTATAGACGCGTTAATATTATATTCGCCAAAGCATAATGTCATCGCTAAAGTGTGATAGTTATTCTGACTGATTTGATATTATGTGACTATATGTATAGATTTAGATGACTTGTGACATCTTAGATTGCTTGTGCTCTTGGTTTTGGAAAAGGTTGCACCCTTTTCGAGATAATTTTTTAGAGGAGCCAAATAATAAACGCAACGCAAAGATGACACCATTAATGTATCGAAATAAACAAACATGAGGTTTCAAAACTTGCATTTCACAATACCTATGAACCACTATGAAGGTATGACAAAGCACAATAATCATATTTATACATAACACAATAATCTCTTTACACTTGCATTTGCTCATCACAAAAAAATAAATGATATAAGAAAAATCATAAATATTGTTATGAAATTATGAAAAATTTGACGCCTTCAAAAGTTGATAACATTGTTAAACAGTCTCTAAGCGTTATAAATAAACAATTTCAATCTCCTATTGCTATCGCTAATTGGGAGGGGGGGGGGCTCTTATTCATATATGCATGATATGCTGAATTAATATCTTTTGAAATGTATTATCTTTGGATTTATGGCATGCGTATACCACTAAGATTCCCCTTAATTAGCGATAGTAATAATCCCTATCTGAGAAAAGTTCAGAAAAATTTTGCTGTAAAAAGGATTCATAAAACATATTAAAATGCAGGAAGCAGAAGTGTTTTTTGAACTAACAGAACTATGTAATAATATAGCATCATATTATCTAATATTAAGGTTAAATATTATGGTGGTAAGCAGGGAAAACCTGGTCCAGCTGGTCCACCAGGACCTGAAAGTAAAGTCACGTCAGCCGGTGGGGTGGTCTACACCAGATGGGAAGAAAACATTGTCCTAAAACAACGAAAACTGTTGAGATTTATTCTGGTAAGAAAATCTACGTAATTGCGATTCATGATTTAGCTACAACTGGTATATGTTTAAACAAGTAAAATAAGCATGTATGAGCGATAAAACTTTTGTTTCTTATTTTAAGTATTTTCTAATGTTTTCAAAACAAAGAAACGGCTTTCTATTTATTTCAAGATGAAGTCTTTCCCTTATGCTTGCATCAACTCACAATCAAACAAGACTTCTTGACTTCAAATTGCATGTCATAACTTCTTTATCACTTGTTTTTTGGCACGACCTGCTAATGTTGACAGTTTATAGACCAATCATCAAAATTTTTTAGAGCGGCTCCCCTCGTCCCTTACGCCTGTGTCAAATGCTTTGATGAATGTCGTTGTTTAATCTTGTTAACACTCTTGATTTTGTTCATTTTACTCTTGTGAATCAGGCATAAGAATTTCATTAAATATGCTCATTAGAATTTTTTATGCGCTCAGAACGTAAAACGTCCAGTTTTAAATGTAAATGTTTCTTTTTTAATGTAAATGTTCGACGCAATATACGCGAATCGACATTTGTATCATAACCTATGTTCTTGTAAAAACCAAGTAGCCGTATTCATTAGTTGTAGTTATAAAACATATTTTTATGAAAAACAGGAGCAATCGGGGGAACGCATTATTCACACAGTGGGAGTGGATCAAATTATCTCAGTTTACCATTGAATCCAATATACGAGAAATACGCTGCTGGTGCTCAGAGTCAAGCAATCATTCATGGTACTGATTACGAGATTTCTTCTGCTGAGAAACATATATTTCCAAATCCAAACTTACACAACCGAGATGCTCCGTGTGCTGTATGTCATGCTAAGTCACGTGGTAGTCACATGATGATTCCAGCGCGCAATATCTGCCCTTCAGGGTGGACTATGGAATACAAAGGTTATTTAATGGCTGAACGTTATACTCACAAGCGATCTGAGTACATTTGTGTTGATGGCAAGCCGGAAGCAAGACTTGGATCTCATGAAGATAAAAATGGAGCATTATTGTATTTTGTTGAAGGCCATTGTGGTTCTTTACCATGTCCACCATATACTGATGAAAAGGAACTGACTTGCGTAGTCTGTACTCAGTGATTTATTGCGTTTTAATGCACATATGTACGTATTTTGCCATTATCTTTAGCAACACTAATAAAACCTAATTTTTAATTTATATAATAATAACACATCAGTGACGTCACCATTTATATTCCTTTAAATATCCTTACATGCACTTAAGTTCAATGATAAAAATACAAGAAGAAATTTTGATCATCAACAATTTATGACTTGCTTTCTTTATATGTAGTAAACGTAAGTTTTGAACGTTTTGCACTGATGACGTCTGTCCATAATTCAGTTTTTATCTCATGGTACTCATGGTAAAGGCAAAATGGATAATTGTCTGATATTTTCTGTAACCTCTTTTTACCAACATCACTTGTGATTAGATATGCAGAAGTTTACCTTTCAGTAGTTGGTTGGCCTGTTCGAGGAGAAAGCTTGTTAGGCCTTTTTTCTTCAGATTTTAGGGAACATTTTATTTTAAGGAAGAATTATTTAAAGAAATGCAACGACGACAAAAAACCAATTTTCCAAAAAAACGCCGCAACTAAAGGAGAGGTAGTCAGCGTGTTCTTTGTATAGTTTGAAGAATTTTGTTAACTTGCCTTCCGGTCCTGTCCTTTAAGCTGTTTTCGATTGATTCGAAAAAATGGCAAAACTCGACAACTTGTCGTATTTCACAAAATTTAGAAACAAACATGCAGTAGAAATGGTGATGGAAAACAAATATCGTCACTTAATTAAGCAATCCTTACATTACACCCAATTGCAGTCATGCATTTAAATATTAGTGTGCTAAAACCAGAAATAAAGAGGCGCAGAAAGTTGCACAGACCGCAGATGCAATTTCTCTTGGAAATTAGGGTCTGCGCACACGTTTAAATTTGGAGACTTTACTTTAATCTTTTTCTTCACTTCTATAAAACCTTGCGGTTAAAAGTGATTTGAAGTTTGTCCCATGGTAGCTACACTAATTAAGTTAATGAATAACCTTGCCTTTTTTAGGGCAAATTCAAAATGTTAATAAGATTTATCTACGTATTTTTTATGACAAATTTATTGTAAAAAAAACCCCCGGCAACTTCGCCTCCACTTATTCTGTCATGGTAAGGAGTATTACCTCAATTGATTTTTCTATACCTACACTTTTCAACAAACCAGTGAATTTCGCTGGCATATTCTTAAGAAAATTACCATTATCATGTTTTGTTGGTATGACGGCCTGCATAGCAAATGCTGGTTTAACATCACCAGTTCTAGAGACGATTATCTTCCAAACAATGTTTATAAGAAAATTTGGATGCTGCTTGTTGCAAGCTGTCATGACGTCATCATCTTGTAAAGGTACATACGTCACTAATTCTGGGTATTTATTACGAAAATGGTTAAATGTTTTCAATCTGTCTTTTTTCCATTTTCCATAACACTGCAATGTTATAAAAAACTGCTGTAATTGTTTTTCTTCTTGCACATATTCCAAAAAATGTTCAAAACATGAAGATACTTCTTCATTTTTCAAACCGACTTCCAGATAAATGATTCGAGGGTTGTCTTCACAAGCATCTCCTGTTTTTGCTGCAAATGAAACAAAAAAGCAGCTGTAGATTTTACATGTATAAAAGTAAAATTAAAAAAAGGTACGCATAGCGTACATGTGGGTAACCTGAATTGATGAATAGATGGCAATGTCGTGAAATGAATTGATGAAAACGGTCTAAATAATATTATACACTGTTTTCGCTACTTTCTGAATATCTTTATGGAATAGAAGTACATTGCCAAAGATTCAGTTGTGATTGCGATTAACTCATATTTAATCTTGAACGCAAAGGCTTCTCTAAAAGCAAGTATTTCATTTTATTCATTACCCACAGCTTGGCTCGTACGCAGCTATAATGTCTTTAAATTTCATTGTCATGTTCAACCATTTTTTAAAAATCCACACTGACTGTGACATTATTAGTAATTATAGAAACTTGAAAGAAAAATCCTCCTTTGCTTAACTTTTTTTTCTGTTTAAAATATCAACTCATTAAAACAGAGGGACATGGTTGAGGATTGCACGTACAAAGCAGACAATTTTCATTTATCGAAAATGACCAAGCTCCAAGCAACGCTATTTCAAACCTAGAAGTCAAATTATCTTGACGACATAATTTGTGATCATCATTTTATAGTCGAACCGGATGTTCTGCTCAACTGAAATACAGCAATCGCTATTGAAATATTGAAAGGAAATTTACGGAGAAAGTTTCTTCGAAAGTTCAACAATGTTTGCACATCCCTTTAGCAAATACTGAGATGGTTTGTATACTATACCATATGTATGGTAAAAAGTGAGGTACTTGACAAACAAGACCAGTTACGTGATAAAAAATAGAGACACAAGTCAGTTAACAAACTTTATAGATACCAATTATTTTCATTGTTGTGATATAATCTCAGACCACAGCAAACAACTCAGTTGTATATTAACATGGAAGTCAGATGATCTTTTGAGACGAAATTATCAGTCTTGCATTTGTTTGCATAAACAATTTAGAAACTATCAACTGCCATAAATGACCTCTAAACAAAAAAACCATAAACAACATTTAAACAAAAAAGCATTGTATAAAAAACTTAAATTGTGAATTTGATTTATCATCAATTTAATTTGAATGTAAATATTAGGCAACCTTTACTGTTACAAATAATTGCTAATCAATTTAGTTTGGTCACCTTGAAAAAAATGAAATTTGCTTCCTAGTTACAAATCAATTTTAACACTTTTTCAACTAAACCAATTTTCATAATTTTCATAAATTCATATTATTTCATACAGTTGATACAGCAATTTTTTCAGTATCAATAAATATATTTTTCCAATACATCACAGCATCCTGAGTACATCCCAAACAATGTAAATTGCTCTAATGAGCAACGGTAATGAGAATAATTGTGAAATTCTCATGCAAACAAAAGAACAACTAAACAAGAATATTATAATTGCCTCACTTGAATGGAATGATGTTTTATAAAGTTGTTCAATGTACTTAAGGGAAGCACCAGATTTATTAGCAATCTCTAAGATATCTTTTTGACAGCTGATTCATATCACCTCATTTATGTCTCATTGTTCACACATACAGTTTTATAAAATAGAAACAATAAAATGCCTGCAATGGTTGGTTAATGGCTGAGTTTGCAATTTGCTTGTGCAAACCGATATGAGCTCAACCACTGGAGGAGCTGAATGAATGAAATCAACTAAAGAGAATTTACAAATCAATCATCAATACATGCAATAAGAAAAATTAAAACATTTGTTTTAAATTTATCTGTTTTGCATGATTGGTATTTTATAGAAAAAATAGAAGATGTTTTTTGTGTTTGCACTTGATTATACAACCAAGGAGACATTTGTGAGAACCCTCAAGCAGATGGAAATCACTGATCTGTTCTCAATTTCTTCTATACATCTCCTCGGTTTGCATAAGACTGTGCAATACTGGTAAACATCTATTATTTGTTGAATAACAAACACTCGTGCATAGAGAGACTTGACTTGCTAGTCTAGCTTGTCTTTTATACTGTATTTACCTGACTGACTTTGACTATCTTGCTGAGTGACCTCTTCCACTGAGAATTTCATTTGAAATTCAATTCCACGACAAGCCCCTTGTATTTGATGTTTTCTAATACATTTAACCCCATCATCTTTCTCAACTTGGATTATTATATCATGAATATACAAGCCTGTAAACTTTTCTAGACGTTCAATATCGATATGGCCGTCATCATGCAGTTTGCCATGAATATCTTTTCCATCTAACAAAGCCTTTTTGTCGTGTGGTAAGTTTTCAGTCAACTTGTCAAGAGTCTGGAGTAAATGTACAGTTGAAAACGACTGCTTGTCCTCGTTTAGCTCGGCTTCCAATTCAGATATTTCTGAGCGTAATTTATCAATTTCTGCTCGATACCATGATTCGGTGCGGTTGAAGTTTGAACACAAGTAGTCATCCCATCGATCGCGTTTCAGTTTAGTTTTTACACGCAAGTGAGTGGTAGAAAGACTTGAAGACACAAATTCGTCTTCCATTTTCCATGAGAACAACAAAATCAGTGAACATTATAAGTGAGTTCGCGCCAAATGGCTAAAATAAGCATGTCCGTTTTATCCATAAGTACTGCCTGTTGCCCAAAATGTTGCGCAAAGAAAATACAGTATCATCAATAAGCACGACAACGTCAAATGGTCAAAGATCAATTTCATCGTTCAAAATTTCGAATTGAATAGTTTATATCTTTGAATCATGCTAAACACGGGGTAAGTACGAGAAGATTGCTCTAATTTGCGGCATTTCTGTCAAAGCAGAATGTTGGAAGGTTGATTGTGAAGAACAATCATTTGCTTATTTTTGAATGTCATGTCAACTGGCCTTTTTTACCTGATGAATTTCTGTATGACTAGTATTTTAGACAGTTTTATTGATTTTTATTTAAATGATCGCATTAAGAATCCTTCCGTTTTGGTCTGAACGAAAGGCAAAGAAACCTTTATTTATGCACTCTGATGATAAAATGTAATAGTTTTAATCATACATGTATTATTTTCTCATTGGATTTTCTATTTTTTGATCATTCATTATTCAAGTATCTGAGGTTTGCATAATAAACCAGTGCAAACATGAAAAATATCTTTCATTTCTATTACTAAATAATGATAACGCATAAACAAATGTTTGAATTTGTCCTCTTACATATATGTATTGATGATTGATTTGCAAATTGCCTTTCAGGAATTTAATTGATTTAGCTCAGATTGGTTTGCACAGGCTAATACAAAGCAAACTCGACTTTAGACCAATCAATGGTAGCATTTCATTGTCTAGACTCTTTTCTCTTGTTTTCTAGAAAACTTGCTGGAAAAACAATTTTTATTAGTGGAGCAAGTCGTGGTATTGGTAAAGCTATAGCTTTAAAGGCAGCAAAGGATGGAGCAAATATTGTCATTGCTGCTAAAACAGCTGAGCCACATCCAAAGCTTCCAGGAACAATTTACACAGCTGCTGAAGAAGGTCAGTTTTTGATGTCTGTTTTGATGTACACAGTCAGCAATGTTTGATGTTTAATTCTTGCAAAAGAAATTTGTTTCAATAGAGTAAAAGATTTTCTTGTAGATATGCATATTGTAAAGAATTATGTATCACTTTTGGAATAAGGAATTTCCAGATATTTATAGGATAGTGAGTGCTAAATATTTTTTCCTTAATCTTTAAAATATATCTGTGTATTATTTCAACAATCATAGCTATTGCTCAAAGAGGAGTTAAAAAAGTAATTCTAACCAAAATTCTGAGAAAGTACAAACTAAAGAGTAACAAACTACGATTGATTTCTCGTGAACATCTTCAAAATTTCACTATGTGCCTTGAATTTTTTCATTTGTAAGCAGTTCTGATGATTTTTATTTTCCCCACTCCCAACTCAAGAAAATTTTTTGTTCAAGATGCGTACGTACTTACCAGTGTGCGAATTAACGGTGTGCAATGTGCAATTTGCACATCGTTTTGGCTAAAATGAAAACAATTGCATATCACTTTTTCAAACGATATGCCAAAAATGTCTTTATTGATTACTACCACATAAATTGAAAAAAGTTCTCAAGCTTAATCTTTACTGATCTTTACTTTATAAACGAGTTCGCTGCATGACATTAAAATCCATGTTGACACAATGTCATCAAATTCAAAAACGTTTTCACTTTGAGACTGGTAAGTCTGCCAACAGTCAACATACATGGTGCTTATATGCTTATTACAATAGGGGTATAATACATTATTAATGTCAATTTTTGCATTTGCGTTGTTTTGTACACCATGACGTACTGTTTTTGGCATCATAGCTATTTTGAGTATTTTCGATAAAATCAGGAAACAGTTTCGTTTAGATTCTTAAAAGACGACAAAAAAAACTTAAATAAGCCAAATTTGAAAAATAAACCAAAGGGAATTTCGATTTTAAATAAGCCTAACGTGAAAAAGCCAAATTTGGCTCAAAATATTAAGCCAAACTAGCAACCTTGAGCAGCCATATTTCTTATTTTTACATATTGCTTGTAATATGACATAAATATGATGTTTTCAGTGTAAGTAAACATCAAGGATGTTACTGTTAATAATCAGAAGGCAAAAGTATATTCGGTGTTTCTCTTTTCACTTTTGTCTCTCTTGCCATCTTGTCAAAGGTTGTTAGCAACCAGCAAAGTTAATACAGTAAAAAATGGATGGAAACATTAAATGCTGACTCGCTTGAGTACTAGGATGATGGCCAAGAGGTAAATTTATTGCGCTGTAAAATTTGCACAAAAAAGAAGATAAAATTACATGCGCAAAAAATTTCTCTCATACATTGTAACTGGGTCAGCGGTTGTAAAGAAAGACACTGTCGTAAATATAATTAATTTAGAATTAGCGCTGTATAATAATTAGCCTGATATTGACTTGATTATGCCTCCAAAGAAACATTTTTGTCAAAAAAATTGCACATCGTTTTTCAACTAATCGCACACTGGTACTTACAAACTCAAGGCTTTCTTCCACTGTATTTTCTACTTTGCTCTGTTGTTAAAGTTGTGCATCTGGATTGCAGGCACATGGATTTTATTTTTGCCTGTTGACTTATGATAATGATTTGATGTCTAATTGTAACACCATCTTTGTTTTATGTGTTGGCTCACGTGTCATCATATATATATATCTATGTTTTTCACTCGTGAACATCATTCTTTATATGTAGTTGAAAAAGCTGGAGGACAGTGTCTGCCATGTATAGTTGACATACGAGATGAATCGGCCGTAAAAACTGCGGTAGAAAAAGCTGTTCAAAAATTTGGTGGCATTGACATTCTTGTAAATAATGCAAGTGCTATTAGCTTGACTGGAACTTTGGCGACTCCTATGAAGAGGTCAGGAAGCACGACTTTCACACAGTTAACATGTAGCTATATGGTGACAGTAAAATATTAAATGTTTTGCCTTACTTAGTTATTATTGATATCTTTAGTTGAAATGAGTAAGTACTTTAAAATAAAGGCTTACTATTTTTTGGCAACTCGTAATGTCTGATAGAATTGTCAATTAACTGATATCCACACTGTTCACAGTTTTATAATTAAGTACAGATACATGTCATCATAGGCTTATACGTATTTTCAAGACAATGTGAGTATTAATTTGGGTGACAAGAATATCAACTTCGAAAGTAAATTATTATTGTGGAATTATATTAAATTGAAGGCTCATTTTCAAGGATAGAAAGCGGTAAAACGCCCCTATGCTCCTGCTTATAAATACTGTGGATGTACGAGGATAATAGCAATGAGCAAAGATAAATCAATAACATAGTCATCAATTTTAATGAAAGATTTAAAAATAATTGAAACGGCTATAATAGATATGGAATTGGGTCTAGAATAAGGAATTGTATCTCTAAACATAATGGCGAGTCTCGTGTGTGTGTATCTTATGCATGTATTTAGTAATGTTTATTTTTTTCTCAGATACGACCTAATGAACGGTGTCAATACCAGAGGAACATTTTTATGGTAAAAATCTTTGTTCTATTAAGTACCCAAATAGCCTAACCTATCCTACTTGGAATTGCTGACTACATATTGTGTTTTATTCATCTCATTTCTTTCGATGTTTAATTTATATAGCTCTCAAGCGTGTATTCCATATCTGAAATTGGCCAAGAACCCTCATATTTTAAACATCAGTCCGCCATTAAATATGAAACCCTTTGGTTTAAAGGACACGTAGTTAGGCCATCGTATTTCATTTCAAGTAGTTCCACGTACTTAGCTGTTGATTCCGAAGGCCCCTCTTACACGTGTATGCCGTACATATGTAGCTATAAGGTAGTCAACCAGTTCTGTTTTCCAGCTTTTTCAGTTTTCAAAACACTTTGATTCACTACATATATTCTTTATTTTAGTGGATATTAATTTAATCAAAAGTATTAACAATGCAGTTTTTAAAATTGGTGATGCTCATATTTATGTATTTAGCTACGTGCCCTGCGAAGTCTTCGAGAAAAGTCAGTCACTTTTGCCAGTGAATTAAACCCGATTTTTATGTTCTGGTATTTTGATAGCATACACGATCGCTAAATATGGTATGTCCATGTGTGTTCTTGGTATGGCTGAAGAATTTAAAGATGATGGTGTAGCAGTGAACGCTCTTTTAAAAACAGGTCAGTTACGTATTACAGTGTCATATAGCTAGGGGTTCATCTTAACATTGTGCTACTGGAGGTATGGCATGCATCATATAGTAGCGATCTAAATATTTTTTTTCATTTTTCTGTCACTTGAACGACTTTATAATCTTTTTATGGGATTATTTGGTTGAGTTCTTTAAGTATGTATTACTGTATGTAAACATATACGTGTGCTTACTGTGCTTCCCCATTCGTGCATTTTAACATTAGTTTCCTCATCCATAGACAACTGCCCTAGAGGTTTACTTTGTGTTTCCATATAAATGCCCTTTATCAATTCATACTCACAGGACTTGGACCATCCCAACAAGTGTTGTTAATTTACCTTGTCTAGCTATCGAGACAGCAATGGAAATGCTTGCTGGTGGAGATGCTCTACAACAATGTCGTAAGACAGACATCATGAGTGATGCGGCTTATGTTGTACTAACTAGAGACAGTAAATCAAGGACTGGTGAATTTCTTATTGATGAGGATGTTTTACGCGAATTGCTGTATGCCATCATCACTGTTTACAAATCTCCACCGAGCCATGAAGCATGTACACATAGCGCGCCTATTTTGAATTGCTGTATGCCACCATCACTGTTTACAAACCTCCACCGGGCACCATATGAAGCATATACACATAGCGTAGCTATTTTTAATTGCTGTATGCCATCATCACTGTTTACAAATCTCCACCGAGCACCATATGAAGCATGTACCAATGCGTACCTATTTTGAATTGCTGTATGCCACCATCACTGTTTACATCTCCCCGAGCACCTATGAAGCATGTACACAATGCGTAGCTATTTGAATTGCTGTATGCCATCACTGTTTACAAATCTCCACGAGCACTATATGAAGCATGTACACAATGCGTACCTATTTTGAATTGCTGTATGCCACCATCACTGTTTACAAATCTCCACGGACCACCATATGAATCATGTACACAATGCGTACCTATTTTGAATTGCTGTATGCCACCATCACTGTTTACAAATCTCCACCGAACACCATATGAAGCATGTACCAATGCGTACCTATTTTAATTGCTGTATGCCACCATCACTGCTTACAAATCTCTACCGAGCACTATATGAAGCATGTACACAATGCGTACCTATTTTGAATTGCTGTATGCCACCATCACTGTTTACAAATCTCCACGTACCACCCTATGAAGCATGTACAAAATGCGTACCTATTTTGAATTGCTGTATGCCTCCATCACTGTTTACAAATCTCCACCGAACACCATATGAAGCAAAAGTTGTTTGCTCAATTGGCGTTTAGTCAGTACGAAAACAGCCTGGAAAACTGTTGGCTCGTTTAAATGTTTTCCAGCAGCGGTTTTTTCATATCTTTTACGCCCGATCATCCCATTACCTTATTTTTAAGATTGGAATGATATTACTCAGAGTTATTTTAGATATTTAAATTTTCCCATTATAGGACCATTTTAAAATTTTAGAAGATAAAAGGATTACAGTATGAAAGACATGCATTACTATATTGTCCTGCAATTTAGCGTATGCAGTATGGAGCTATAAAATTTGACAGTAAAACATGAAAATCCAGCATTCACCTTAAATTTTGAATAAAAACTTGATTGCCTTTCATTGACCTTTTATAAAGAGCATACTTTTGATAGTGTAATTACATATAAGTGCACCTCTACATAATAAATAAATTAAACTCTGGACTCACTTTACTGTGAAACTTGGTGCTGTATGTATATCTAATAACATTACTTATTGCTCTTATTGGTTAGATAACGCACTCGACTAGTACTGGCAGCCATCATGCCAATTGATAACTTACATCCAACATCAATCTACATTGATTACTGGGGATAAGACCAAATAATACAAAAACGCATCCTACGAAGGGTTAGAAGCCACATGCATTGTTCAAACTGCAGAAAGAAGAAAGTCACCTAAAGAACAGGATCCCAATAAATATTTTCAGTAGTCACTAACAGAAACATTTGCTTTAAAGGCTTTCATAAATACGAGTTCACCTTTTGATGTTCATTGCATTAACAAAATTGTTAGGTAAAACGCCAGATCCCAACCTTTGGCATAAAGAACTAATGGAAAATCGCTCCCCAAATATTCAAAATGATAAATTAAACTGCGAGGGAGGGCTCTTCAGGTAATTTTTCTGTCACCCGTCTTATAAAATTAATTACCTTTCCCTGTCAGCTGGAGACAAGATTCAGGAGCAAATTGTCTAGTTACTTCTTTCCTTTTTATTTGTGAGTCGATATCTGGAACAGGTAATTACAAAACATTTACGAATATTGGTTTAAATAATTCCAGTATGTAAAATGCAAGTTTGGGGACCTTTCCTCTTAGAACTGAGCCTTGCAACACCGTGACTACTTTCACATTTTTTCTACTTTTGAATAAGACGACAGTAAGGTAACTCACAAGTCAATAGCCAATTAGCAAGGAGACTTGTATCCGTCAATCGTACTCAACAGCTGTTGTTTAAAATTTAAAACTTGCTTTGCTCTGCATGAAAAAAGAGTACTTTAATGTCAGCTCAGCGAAGACGAACCAGCTGGTGTTTTTTTAAGAGAAATTGATTACATTTGAACAAATCTTGTGTCTGTAAGAGTCAATAAAACTTTGAATGTACATCGTTTAGCTATAAACAATGACTTACCCAAAATTAGAGGAATTATCAATTTAAGGCCATGTAGTATGCACTACTACCAAAATATTTGGACATATGGAATATTGAAATCATTGACTCCACAATCTTTCATGAGAATGACAAGGCGTTATCACTTAGAAAAGCTTTTAAGTGATAAGTTAAAACTTATCACTTAAAAGCTTATACTCCATGGTTATCTGCGTCATGTGCTTATTCTATATTGGCTTAAAGATAATCAAAATATGTAGCAAGATAGACATTTTTTAACAGATGTTATTTATCTGCTCATGCGCAGCAGCTACTCTTAAAAACTGTGGCTTATTTCTCACACACTCACAAACATAAAATTACTGTCTCATATTTTTGTCTATGGTAACACCAAACTTTTAGTTTATTTTTTCAGTATACTAAGATGAAATTGACATTAAGTTTAAGTCAAATTCGATGATCATCAATTCTTTATTATAAAGAAAAACAATAAATCGCGTGCACTGATTGATCTAGCTTGTTTTAATAGCCTCAGTGTACAAAACAATCTGATCACTATCAATTAAATCAATCTCAACCTTCGATCTCTAGTTCTAAGATCCATGATTTTCATAAGCCTGTGAAAACTTGGTTACACATGTTTTATTTTTACAGAATGGAAATTATATAAACCATGCAATGTTCATCTTCTTGTTAAATCTTTATATTTATAATTGAGTACTAAAATGACATCAATTTATTAGCAGGGATTGGGGATTGATTGGCGTAGCAAGGTCTATCAAAAAACTGAACAGTTTGGAAAACGTCACTAAAGTCATCTGCTTGCAAGATCTTCAAAAACATTTGTTAGAAATAGTTGGACCAATGGTCTATCTGACAGTGAAATTATCGCCAACAATGACAATTTTCAAAATGAGAATTGTGTTACCTTCTAAAATTTTAAAATAGCGCTTTGAAAATTTTCACACAGATTAAAATAGCTGGCTCAAAGTGCTGAATAATAACTTTTTTGAATGCTTTTCTACTCATCATGAATTATGCATAATTTTGAGCTAAAGATAATCAAATAATGAAATATGAATAATTAATAAAGATTTGCTTAGCGTTCTTTTATGTTTTTGACAAATTTTGCAAAACTTTTTTGGCTTGAACAATATGTGCCATATTTTAACCCTATGAGTTCAAATTGCTTTTTAACTTAGTCATTTTTGTGCGCAATCTATTTCAAAAATGCTTCTCGGTAACACAATTTCTTTCTTGTTACTATTTACAAACATTTTACTGTCAGATGATTCATTGGAAGTCTAACAATCTATTCCATCAATGGATTTTGCAAATCCTACAAGCTGACAGCAAAGCAACGTTGTCCTATCCGTTAAATTTTTTCATACACCGTGTAGTCCACTGCTATAGTCGTAGTACGTATGATACTATGTTAATTTTTAATGTTCACTACTATCAAAAGAAAAATTTCTAACAAAATGAATAATAATAATGTCCTCAAATTCACATTTCGAGACTAAAATTTGCTGGCAGGCTACGCTACTGAGTATTTATCGCCAACTATATCCTCACCGTAAAGCAAATAAACAATTGCTTCTTGCAAATGATTATCAGTAAACATAAATTCACTCGTATGAACTTTGTACTCTTTTAGTAAATGAATAGACAACCATCGACATT